GAGTTGATAAACTGCTGTGTGGATTCAGTGAGCCCCAGGTTGTGTTTCCCGAGCTGCACTTGGATGCGACTGGAAAACAGAAGGCACAGCGTGTCCTTTACTGCTAGGGGCACGTTGAGAGAAACCTCCCTGTCACTGAGTGCACTCGCTCCAACTCCCACAGAAGCCTTCTGGGGCAGAGGATCTTTCTTGTCCTGCAGGGAGCCCTGGGAATCCACACTGTGATCTTAACTCACTCCATGTTGGTGAATTTCTGCAGGTCTCTAAATACCTGGCAGCAGGTGAATACAGAGCAGCACTAGATCCAGATATTCTGGGACAAGGCAAACGGCTCCAGCCGGACCTTGATCCTCTTCCTGTTCTCCAGGAAGAATGCTTTAGCAAGATTCATGTAATTGATAGGAAATCAAAGCCCAGACCTCTCTGCTTGATTATCTCATTGTTATATCAGAAAATGCTCTGCATTCACGGGAACGTTGGCAGAAGTGGAAAACCCCTCAGGATGCCTCGGCCTGGCTTCCTGAATGATCCACCCATCCCTTGGCTGTCTCTGGTGAGAATGGAGGCACTTGCATATTTCTATCTCATAGCTCAGAATGCCTGCTAGAAGTGAACTGGAAGACAGAAGTAGGTTCTAGAAGGATGTAATTTTTTCACTCACGATTTGTAGCAGTGAGCAGCTGACACGACCCACTGGCTGCTGATGAGGGAACCTCCACAGAAGTGATATCCAGAATTCAGGGACACCTGATAGGGCACAGAGTTCTCTGCGCAGGTGTAGCCTCCCACAATCTTGTCATCATCGTCTTCAGCAAAGGTGGGGAAGGCAACTGGGNACCTGCCCCTGGTGCCAGCACAGACACAGAGGTGTGCAAAGAGGAGAGGTGCAGAGCAAGAGATGCGTCTCTCTGTGGATGGGCAGGGGAGGCAGCGGCAGTCTGAAATGTCACCAAGGCTCTTGGCTGCCCAGGAACGGTGGGCAATGACACCTGCAGGCAGTCATGAGCTGCTTGTGCTCTGCTCCTCTGGCTTCCTGCTGGGTGCGAGCGTGGCTGGGCAAGAGTAGGGGGGACTTCAGTAGGTGCCAGAGTTCAGAGCTACCACGGAGCAGGATGGGGCTGTGGGGCAGCCTGAGTGTGTGCGCAGGAATGCACAAAGTGGCAGAAATTGATGGGAAGATGTCCAGTTTTAGAGCAAATTTGGGGAAGAATCCCCCAAACGAGCTCTGGTGGGAAAAGCAAATCCAATCGCCCCCTCCCCGCCAACTGGTCCGGGAGGAAAAAATATCTCCTTGGAGAAAGGTGGAAAAAAACCTGTTTATTAAACAATAAAACCAAAACAATATCAAACAATGACACCCCTTGCCACTCTAAAAGACATGACAAACTGAGAAAACCCCGTCCCCGGGTTGCAGCTCAGCTCACTCAGTCTCTGATCAGTCCCTCTGGTGCTGGAATTGTCGCAGGCCAGGCCTGGCCCGGTGGGCCACAGCTGTAGCTGGCGGTGCTCTCCTGGGTGTTCTTTCCACCGCAGTTTCAAGAGGTCCAAAGAAAAGGGAAAAAACAAAACAGTCCAGGCAACTTGTTTGCCTCAGCTACCTAACACTAACTAAAAAGCAAAAGAAGAGCTCTGTCCCACTGTCTGCCCATCCGCAGACAACACAGCCCAGGAGCAGGAATGTGGAGGAGGAGTGCAGTGTCTGAAAACAAAATGTGCGCTTCTTCTCTCCCCCCTTCACTCTCTGGAACACTCTTAAAGGTGCAAAACTTATTATTCAACATAAACAGAATGAGACAACTGGGGATAAAAGCATCATATAGTCAACCCAGGACATTCCACCCCTTATCCCCATATTGTCTGCTTACTACTAAAACTAATATAAATTTTAACTCTACAAGTACATACATGATACATCCACTATACAGCTATTCACAGACAATGGTAGTAACATTCAGCAAAAAGTGATATTTACACAGGTTTTATGCAACAATCAGATCTCCCTGCGGTACACATCATGTTCTTCCATCTTTTTGCGTTATCCACCATGTGCAACCTGGTCCCTTAGCAAAAACAACCCCAAGAATGCTTTTGGCTGTATTGGAGGCAGGATTAATCCAAACTGTCTTCCCTAATAAACCTCTGACATGTACCACTGGGACTTTGTCTCCATCTACTCTCTGAAAAGGCTCAGATTGGGCAGGGCCCACTCAGTTAGTAGAGCTATGGCTGTTAACTAACCAGGTGGCTTTTGCCAGATGCTGCTCCCAGTTTTTCAAAGATCCCCCACATAATGCTTTCAATGTGGTTTTTAACAGTCCGTTGTACCTCTCCACTTTTCCTGCAGCTGGTGCATAGTAGGGGATATGGTATACCCACTCAATGCCATGTTCCCTAGCCCAGGTGTTGATAAGGCTGTTCTTGAAATGAGTCCCATTTTCTGACTCAGTCCTCTCAGGGGTGCCATGTCTCCACAGAACTTGCTTTTCAAGGCCCAGGTTGGTGTTCCGGGCTGTAGCATGAGACACAGGGTAGGTTTCCAACCATCCAGTGGTGGCCTCCACCATGGTCAGCACGTAGCGCTTGCCCTGGCGTGTCTGGGGCAGTG